TAAATAAAATATACATATATACACACACACTTGTACACACTGGATCTGACAGCACACACGAATCACAAACACATATTTTGTAAAAAGAAAGAGCATATGCGTACATATTACACACTTAACACACGTACAAACGTAAAATACATTACATCAACCGAAAGAAAGACAAACACATACATACGCATATGTATACACTCATACAGAAACACGCTAGCGCACACGCAATACATGCGCACTTGTTTCGCCAAGCGATTAATTGTTGACTTATTTTCTTGTAAGGCTGTGAATACGAAAAAAAGAAAAGAGGAAGGAAATAAATGAGAAAAGGAAAACAAGGAATAGAAATGAACAACAGAAATAAAGAAAATAAAAACGAGACATTCAATAAACTACACACACAAAAGAAGAGCAAACAAGCACACATACGAAACTTGAAAACCAAACAATTAGGAAAAAAGCTCCCAAACTAAACAACACAAAAGAGGAAAAAGAAAAAAAAGAAAAGAAAAATAAACAAAAAAGAAAAGAAAAGAAAAGAGAAGAAGGGAAAAGAAAACAAAGAAACAAACAAAAGAACAACAACAAATAAACCACACACACAAAAGAAGAACAAACAGACATAGGAAATTTGAAACACAAAAGAAGAATATATTATACGCAGGAACCGTAAAACACATAAAGGAACATAATACACATAGGAAACTTAAAACCCAAAAGATTTGGAACCCCCCCCCCAACTAAACCAAAAGCCAAAGACAAAACAAGAACTCCGAAAGTCCGGGTCGGCAGATCCCACCTGCCGTGGGCGGTTTGAAGACGCGCGGAGAAAAATCCGGATGAGCCCCGGGCTTGGCGGGAACAGAAGCTAAGCTGGAAATTGTGCCCTGATTGGGCGGAGAATGGAGGGATTGCCCCCGCCAGCACTCGGCAAGGATGAATTATGAGTGCAACAGATACTGCAAAAACAAACCAAATATACGCTCACACACAAACGCATACACGCATGCGAACACAAACACGTATATATCTGCGCCCGCCGTGCGCACGCACAGACAGACAGACAGACCGACAAACACACACACACACACA